AAAAAACACAATACAATCTGGAAAAAAACCCTCATGGTTTCTGAGCCCATCCCATGGGGATTTGGGCCTGATTCATGATTTTGTAATCTCTAGGGTTGGAAATACTGCTGGTATTTCTAACAGTATCCCTTATGCTGATGCATTTCAAGAACGGAGTATGAGCTGATGCTGTGATGGCCCCACTGAAATGCAGGAAATGGTAGTGCTGTCCTTAGAAACTGGATGTTGATTTGAGAGCCAGCAGGATGGTGGGTTTCCTCTTGCTGGATTTTCTCCATTTGGACGGGATGACATGGTTGCACTAACCCCTTTTTTTCATAGGCCTGGTCCCCACTAAATCCCCACTTCGGACTAAAGTACGCAAATTCAGCTACGTTAATAACGTAGCTGAATTCGAAGTACCTTAGTCCGAACTTACCGCAGGTCCAGACGCGGCCGGAGTCTCCCCCGTCGATGCCGCGTACTCCTCTCGCGGAGCTGGAGTACCGGCGTCGACGGCGAGCACTTCCGGGATCGATCCGGGATCGATTTATCGCGTCTTAACCAGATGCGATAAATCGATCCCAGAACATTGATTGCCCGCCGCCGGACCCTCTGGTAAGTGAAGACGTACCCATAGATTCGAAGGCCAGAAGGGACTATTGCAATCATCTAGTCTGACCCTTTATCTAACACAAGTCAGAGAACTTCCTCAAAACAATTCCTAGAGCAAAACTTTTAGAAAAACATGTAATCTTGACTGAAACATAGTTAGTGATGGAGAATCCACCACGATCCTTGGTTAATTGTTCCAATGGCCACTTACTCTCACCATTAAAAATGTGTGCCATATTTCCAGTCTGGATTTGTCTAGTTTCAACTTCTAGCCATTGGAGCGTGTTATAATTTTCTTTGCTAGATTAAAGAGCATGGTAGATATTTAAATACTGTGATCAAATCACCCTTTAATTTTCTCTTTATTAAGCTAAATACATTGAGTTCCTTGAGTCTATCACTATAAGGCAGGTTTTCTAATCCTTTAATCATTCTTGTAGCTCTTCTCTGAACTCTCTCCAATTTAAAAAAAAAACAAAACAAAAGACTTCCTTCTTGAATGGTGGGCACCAGAACTGGACACAGTATTCCAGTGCCACAGAGAGAGGTCCAATAACTTCTCTACACCTACTCGAGATTCCCCGGTTTATGCATCCCTTTTATGGCCCCAGCATCACACTGGGAGCTCTTGTTCAGCTGATTATCTACCCGGCCCCTAAATCTTTTTCAGAGTCACAGCTTCCCAGCATGGAGTCCACCACTCTGTAAGTATGGCCTACATTCTCTGTTCCCAGATGCAGACATTTACAATTAGCCCTATTAAAACTATATTATTTGCTTGCACCCAGATTACGATCTAGATCAATTTGAATCAAGTAGGAGCATTCTATTGCAATATTTTCTTACCTGTTTGGTCCTTAGTAGTAATATCTGAGCAACTTGCAATCATTAATCGAATTCATCCTCACAATGTGTGTGTTTTACAGACCTGGCCCAGAGGAGACTGGCTTGCCCAAGGTCTCACAGCACATCAGTGGGTAAGCCAGGCATAGATCCCAAGTCTCCAGACTTACAGCCCAGTGCCCCTGTCCACTAGACCACCCCATGTCTTAATAACTAATATTATTGTGCAATAGAGCCTACAATGTGCTAGACACTTGGCAAGATAGACAACAAAGGACAGTCCCTTCCCCCAAAGAGTTGACAAACAAACAAGCAGACAGAGGCCAGGGCAGGAAAATAACAATAATTTTCTATACCAATCAACAAGGTTCCCTACAGGCAGCACAGCAAAAAGTGGGACGTAAGAGTGGAGAGAAGCAGGGGCCTTGCCGATGAGTTCAAGGTCAAACCATGTATAGGGGACCACATTGAAGATGCTATGGAGGTATTGTTCTGACATGCTGTGCATTTAAAAAGTCACAAGCCTGAGCTGGATCCAGGTCCAAGAGTTTCCAAAGTTAGGGGATGTTTGATATGGCACATGGCAAAGACAAAAGGTGAAATTCTATTTCCTTTGAAGTCAATGGCAAAATTCCCACTGACTTCACGGGAACCGGAATGTCACCCCAAGGTGGGAGTGATTCATCAGTGTCCAGGGAAGAGGATTTTATTTAACAAAAGCGACGTATAGAATTAAATATACTCCACCTGGGTCCAGCTGCAAAAGGCAGAAAAGCATAGGAATGGCGTCCCGCTGAGTTCTCTGGTGAGAATCTCAAAGGGTCGAAGACCTGCAAAGAATAATAAAGACACGTAGTTCTGAAACTATTGCTTAGTTTGGCAACCGAGCTTAGCTAGTAAGGGCCAGATTCCCCTCTCAGTTACCCTTGCACAAGCCCACTAAAGGCAAGTAAACGGCCTTATCTTAATGCCATAGGGCAACGTGTACCAATGGTTTGGGAAGGGAAAAGGGACATAATTTCCATCACAATCTCTCTCCAGAGCTAACACCTTGTATTAGTATCTGGCTCCCAGCTTACGGCAGAGAAATGGGCCCATACAGAAGATCCTTGAGACATCTACAAACTTCCCAAAATGAAGATGGGTGGGTGTGGCCCAAACAAAT